GCTTCAGGAAGGGCATGGCCAAAGCTTTCTTCAGGCTACAGAAGTTTCTCCGTCGGACCCAGTTTCTGCTCTTCTTCCTCACAGCAGCTTACCTGATGGCTGGCAGCCTGCTGCTGCTACAGCGGACCCGCTTGGTTATCCAGCAAGGGTCACGTGGGACCTCTGCTAACCAGGCACTGCCAGTGCCGGACGGGATGGCCGGGGTCGGCATCGCAGACCCCAGGATGCTGCAAAACCCCCGCCCCGGTGCCAGGCTGGTGGGCACGGATGCGCCACAGGAGCCAGCCCTGGACCAGCAGCACAGCCCACGGTGGCTTGTGTCCCGCAACTCGGAGCTCAGGCAGCTGAGAAGAAGGTGGTTTCACCGGTTCATCAGCGAGCAGGAGCCCATGCAGACAGCGGGATTTAAAGCGATGAAGCACACTGCTGAACACAAAGGTAAGGGACGCACCCCTGCCCCGTTTTCTGGCACACACATAAACTGCACCTCCTCCTAGGACCATCCAGGCACAGACTGGCAAGCACCACAAAGTCTGCCTGCAGAAACGCCTTCCTCCTGGCTCATCACCACTTTCAAACCACTTCTTAAGCGCATGCTCAGGCCAAAGTACAATTCTGATGTCTGTGGTCATGCTGAGCTGTAACTTCCTCCAAAAATGTATTTTTACTGATTGAATGGAAGCCCAGACAGTGAAATATGCTTCCCTAATTTAAATTATTTTCTCTTCAAGCAGGCAGAGATGAACACTGTTTAACTGATTTTCTTTCTCAGAACAGGGAACACTTTAAAAACGGGTTTTATTAAGTTAGCTATCCAAAACCACACAATACCTTAAGTCCAGAAGTGCCTCCTTGCTGCTACAGCTTTCTAGCATATACTAAAGTCTGCTACTGCAGACACATTTGCTGTTCACTGTCCTTAAGCAGACAAGATGTGGGCCATACAACCCTTCTTCCCTGACTGGGTGCCAAACCAGCACCGCAGTGAAAGGAGAACTCCTGGATCAGAGACAAACTCCTGGCGTTTGGCGAGTTGGGTGGAGATTTGCGACAGGCCGAGGGGAAAGCAAGGGGAAGGAAAGCAAGGAACATCGCTGCGCGGGTGCAGTCCCTCAGCAGCCAGAGCACAGCGTACAGAACTGTACGTTTTCCAACCCAAATGCAAAGCCATTCAGGTTTGACAGAAACCTGAGCTCACTTCACTGTGAGCCTGATTCTGCTGCCCTAACTGCTGCTGATAAATATGTGCATGGACTGCTTTAGTCTGTTCAGTAGGAAAGCTTTTAAAAAACTACTCTCCAGAGCAAGCACAGAAGCAAAACGGCACGTTTCCTGCATGGCTTTATACCCTCCTGACCCACCACAGAGAACTGCACCATCCTGGGCACCCCTTGCCGGGGAGGTGCACAAAACTGGTGCTCACCGTGTTGGGGGGTTACGCAGCCGAGCTGCTCGCTGCGCAGGGAGCTGGAGCCCCAGTTCCGCAGCCATCTCCAAAGGCTGAGCGTGCCCAGGGAGCAGACAAAACCCCTTGAGGAGCCCAACACAGAAAGCACCAGGATCCAGGCTAGGTGACTGACCGTGCTCTCAGGGCTGCAGCACCAAACTGTGAGTTTGCGAGATTTGATCCACTGCCTTTCAGAAGAAATAGTTGTTTGTGGAGGTGTTTCACTGATAATAAAAAAGGAATGGGATCTGGATGACTAGACACCACATTACTAAACTGCTCTTTAGTTTGTTGAATAAATTTATCCAGACAAAGGGGCATGTTCTGCAAAAATCCCACAAAACGGGTGCCACCTTGTGACTCCTACTGAGTGAACTGTCAGCAGTGGGAACAAGAGGTGATAGTGATGGTGTACGGGAGATGAGTTTCACAGCGTGAGTCAGGCGAACCATAACTGTGGGAGTTCCCTGAAGCACCAAGCTGGAGCTCCCAAGAGTGCTTCTCAGGCGCTTCATAACATCCATTGCTAGCAGGTTTTGGTGGCAGAGAAGAGGGGCTGCAAAGCGCCGATGTCTCCCAGAGAACCCCACCGCATTTCGTGACGTGCCCCAAGCACGCAGCCTGGGTGCTCGCAGCCTAACGGCAGCCCCGGGACCAGCATGAAACACAAGGCTGCAGCTCCTCCATCCCGCACCAGTAACCAAGCCCGGTGCAGGGTAGTGGAAGCTCTGTGAAGGGGTCCTGTGTCCATCCCCAGTGCTGCTGGGAGGGGCTGGACCTCATACCAGTATTTAATATTCACCAAGTATTGCTTCTTCCCTTTTTTGCAAGCAGCAGACACCCTGGTCTCAGCTGCTCAGTGGAGGCCGATGATCTGACCAGGAGGGGGTCGGGCAGGGTGCTGCCTGTCCCACACCGGGAGATCGGAGGGGGCCGGCGAGGAGAGCGAGCAGTGCAGTGCCACAGGGCGCAGGACGCTCCCTTGCCCCGGATGCCCTGTGATCTGTACTTCCACGCTGCCCGTGCTCTGGCAGCACAGTGTCGGTGGGCTCAATGCAGCAAACCCAGCCCGCTCCACTCAGCGAGTGCCCACGAGCCCTTTGGCTTTGCCTCCTCCCCGGTCCGACCGGGTAAAGACAGCTCGCCTGGTTCTCCCTGCATGACTGCAGCTGCTTGGGCTGCTCCGGTACCCCTGGTGTTTGGTGACTTTTCTCCCCCCGATGAACAAAAGAATAGATAAAAATTAAAGAAACATGGTGAGTCTTTGTGAGCTACTCTAAGACCAGGCAGAGTAGGAACCTGTTCTTTAAAAACTTCAATTACAACCAAAAAGATTACTGTTGAGAATTATCCATAAAGTTAGTTAAGGCTACTGCCTTGCTCAAGTTCTAACCACTGACTGAGAGGAGCCAGAAGAACTATTTATTGCTACATCCCACTGAATTATGTTGATTCAAATATGCATCATCTGAATATCTGACTGAAGTGACATTATTAACAGCATTGTTAACAAGCATTGGAATACCTTTAGAAATTATCAATTAAAAATTTAACTACCTGTGTAGAGCACGTTATCTTCCCTGCCCCTCACTGCTCCTAGTAAAGTTGCAGGCTTGTTACTTCATTACAGATCCCTTCCAAGACGCAGTGAACTCCTCCGTGGTTACAATGCCTGTCAGAGTTTCAGGGTCGCCCGCTGGTTCCCGCTCAGTGAAGCGTCAGGCTGCCTTACCGTGGCGGCCGTGTCCGTGCGTGCCTCACCAGTGCCGTCCCAGCACGGCACGGCCGCTCTGCCCTGCCCACGCATGGGGACTGCACGCAGAACCTCCACCCGAGACAAAAGCCACGGCATCTGCTCCAGCGTACCGGGAACACCTCCCGGCTCGCTTTGCCTGGCTTTCCGTCCACCCCGGATCATGTGGCCCTGGGTGAGAAAATTCAAGTCCTTTTTTTTTTCCCTCCATGTCAAGCTATCTTTCCTGCTCACATAGCAAGTGGCTCAGTGCAGGGACCCCATCTTACCCTGCCAGGGACACTGGCAAATACTACTAATGCAACAGATGAAACCAGGAATTTCTTAGGTAAAAAACGTCAATTTTCTGTTAGCAATGCTTCCAGCGGATGGGGTGTTTCACACTGCTTCCCCCAGCCTGCGTGTGCCATTGCGCAGGAGGCAGAGGTGACAGGGACTGGATTGCTGACGTGACGCCCGGCTCTCAGATCACGGACTGTCCCACGACTCGTTCACAGGAGGATGTAAATGCGATATTGCTGCCGGCAGCGAGGGAGGGATGCGGGCAGACGCGGCCGGTGTCGGCTGGCCTACCGTGCCTCCCGACTCAGGCACTTTGACCCACACACTGAGTTTGCTGCTGCTACTGGTTTAAATCAAAGCACCCAAATCAAAAGTCTCCAGTAGAATGCAGAACATCCTTACTGCAGGTGTGTGACTCCCATCTCGTTAACAGCGTGCTGTGGGTGTGTACTCACAGCTTGCGAGTTTTCTAATTGCATGTTTGCAAATTACCAGTATGCAGGTCTTTGAATCTGGTGTTGTGTTTGCAATATTTATGTGTCTGATTCCTAGCTCAAAAATCTCTGTTAGAGTGGCTTGAACTTTCTTTTTACTGTGGATTATTTTATTGTTAATATAATGCTTTTTAGTTTCATTTTTCATCATATATTCTCTTCCTGTCCACAGCTCATGTTAATTTCCCTGTGTTATCATCTGAATACTGCTACTTTTAAAATCAAATTTCCTTTTTTCCTTCATATTTTAATGATAAAATGTACTTATATACACACAATTGCTGTACAACATTAGGACTCCACATCATCCTGCCAACAGTATATTAAAAAATTGTCTGCATTTTTATAGTATTTCGTTCATGACAACAAAGAAGAGGCTTAACAGAGGATGCAGTCTAAGACAAGTATTTATCTTTCATATGCTAAGTAAAGCAAGACATATTTTAAAAGACCCATTTGCACTGGAGAGAAAGAGATAGTTTGATGTGATAGCTAGACACTGCTGCCTAGTTAAGACTGAAGTTATCTTTCCCTTCTAGCTTTAATATAACTCTATGTACCCAGAGAAAATTGATTTTCTCAGTATTTCTCTTGTACCATCTCATTATCAGGTAGAGATTGTCAAGAAACTTGGGAGAAATCCAACAGGATTTCTCGAAGTTTATGCCACTTTGAAGACTACCTTCTCCTTCACTTTAGCCATTCGCCGTGCTTTGTCACCAAAGGGAGGGAGCCGGGCAGGCAGAGCCGCCTGCGGGAACCACAGCTCCGGGGCGGTCGCAGGCGCTGGGTCTGCAAAGGCAGGCCTGCCTAAAGTAACCTGGGCAAGGGAAGAGTCTGGTTTCCCTCCTGCTCCTTTCCATCGGACAGTTGAGCTTACCCCTTCCATAGCACCTGCGAAGGTTCGGTGCCAGCGGCCAGGTCTGCAGAGCCGGCAGGACCCCGGGCAGGCTGTGACCTGACCAGGCACAGCCCTGCTCGCAGCTCACCACGCTGGATCGCCCCTGCATGCCTCTCCCTCTCCCCTGTCTCTGCCCTATGCATGCTGCCTAACTCTGGTCCTGCACGCACACAGGCACCTACGTCGGATGCTTCAGCGACAACTCGAGGGAGAGGACGCTGAAGGGAGCTGTGTTTTACGACTTAAGAAAAATGACAGTATCTCACTGTCAGGAAGCTTGTGCTGAGAGGTGAGTGGTATTTTTTCACTGCAAGTTTTCTCCTTTCTAAGTGCAACTGAACTTAAAATGGGAAAAGCATGCATTTGTTAAACATACAGCATCTGTGAAAACTGCAATTATCTCGTACCTTCAGGCATGGCATAGCTCTGCTACCTTGCTGAGACTATTGCACTGCTGCCTATCCTCTTTGTTACAGGATGGCTACTTACAATATATTTTCTGTTTTCCTGGTCAAAAATTACTGTTTTGTTAGATAATCTTTGTTAGGTATTGCCCTCTAACCCTAACCTTTGATCGAAAATATTAAAAAGCTACGAGCAGACCAGCAGTCCCCCAGCAGCAGAGAGCAGGACGACGGGGTGCGCGGCAGGGAGCGGGGCTGCTGCCAGTGCAGCCGGGGAGCTGCGGGCCCGGGGAGCACACAGCCCCGGCTCCGCCCGCCACCGGAGGCTCGCGCTGCGGCCCCGGGGAGCCCACAGCCCCGGCCCCGACCGCCAAGGCAGGCTGCGGGCCGGGGACAGCCATCAGTACCCAGGGCAGGACTGTATGAAACTGCTGACTGACAAGACTTCCCGTTGCTCCCAAGCACAGAAGAAAGCAGCAGAAACAATGCCATTTAGAGCCATTCCTGTGAAATTTGCTTCCTTTGGTCCGTAGGGCAATGCAGTGCACATGGAGGCCGTGGCGGTAGGGGTGCCCAAACTGCAGCTGCCCCCCACCTCGCTGGCGTTCAGACCCCCTGCTCCAGCCCAGTCCCCTGCAGACACACAGCGACACTCCAGACAGAGCCGTCCCTTGGGCGGAGGGAAGGGCACACTCCTCTCGGACAGACGGACCGTCAGGCCTCGCAGACGCTTTTCCGAGGACGCGGGGCCAGGCCCTGGCCCGTGCAGCAGCGGAGCGGTCAGCCGCGGGCC